GCAGTCGCCTACATGGGAGTTCAGCAACATAGCCATTATGCTAACTGCTGGTCCCAATAGTTTTCAAGTAAAATATAAATGCTGTATTATTTAAAAAAAAAAAAAAAGACTCATCACCAATGGTGAAATTTCTAGCTTTCTCAGAAAATTTGGAGTGATGTTCTAGGTAATCAATTTAGCTGTAAGTTTGTTGGTTTAAAGAAAAATCCCTTAGAAACAGTTTAGTTATAGCCGGAAGCCCAGGGGCGCAGGCAAATAGATGCAGACATAGTTAAGCTGCTGAGAAGAGCTGATGTCATCGGGAGAGAGGAAGTAAGTGGGCATTCTCTCATCCATTCATTGAACAAATATTTAGTGGTTGACTACCTTGTCTGTCTCATTCACTGCAGTATCTCCTCAGGGCAGAGATAAAATCCCTACTGAAAACTTACATTCTAACAAGGAGAGACAATTCATGTATCAATGTGTTTATGTTTGATGGTAAGTGTTACAAAGAAGGGTGAGATAGGGAGTTGGGTGGTAGGCCTGGGAGGGAGGGAGCCAGTACTCCCAGGAGAATCAGTACCATCTGCCTCTACAAACTATTGCAGTTTCAGGGACTTAGCTCAACAAAGGTTGCTTTTTTCCCCCCTCACAAAATGCAGTGGGGCTGGGGAGGGGGGTAGCAGTGACTCCAGGACCTAGACTCCCATTTCTCTTCCAGATTCTCCAAAGCAGAAGAGAAGAGGGGTGGTTAGGGGACCAGCAGATGGCGTGGTGGTTAAGGTGCTGGACACTCCCACATGGCCGACCAAGGTTTGAGTCCTGGACCTGGCGGCTTGCTTTCTCTTTCTCTCTCTCTGGTCAAATTAAAATAAATGAATGAATAAATAAAATTAGATAATGATAAATTTAAAAAAAAAGAAGAGAAGAGGGGTAGAGGAGTCACATGGATTGAATATGGTGGGGATACAGCCAGGTGGATCTCTGGGAGAGGTGGAGAAATAGCAAAGGCTTGGTTTATTCTAGACATAACACACCAAAGGGATGACCGTGGCTTCTCTCAGTGGTAGAGTTGGAAAGAACAACCTTTACATTGGCCAGGCCACCTAGGGCCTCTCAAGCCAAGGGAGGAAGTGAGAAAATGCAGTTGTTTGGGGCTATTTATCCTCCTACAGGTTTTTTGTTTGCTTTACAAAAGCAAAAAAGTAGAATTTCTTGACAGTTATAACAGCAGTGTAAACCAAGTTTTGAACAGTATGTTCCATTTTCTGGAGAATAATTTTTAATCTAATATTTTTCTTATTCATGATGCAGTACATAGGTGTGCGTATGAAAGTAAGAGAGAAGGGGGAGCGAGATACAGAGAGATGAACACTCTCCATAGGTCTGGTCACACGCCATGATCCCCTCCTCCAGCTCATCAGAGTTCGGGCACTTGCATATCTATGTGCCTGTTTCAGCTGACAGACCCAGTGATTTTTTTTTTTTTTTTTTTTTTTACCCTTTCGTTTCCAATTTTTTTTTTTTTTTTTTTTTTTTTTTTAATTTCTGGGGGCTCTTGAGCAGCATGTTACTAATAAGCCCTGGAGGCCAGCTGAGAAATCTTTAAAAATATATTACTTATCTATTTCCCTAAGTAAATAGTTACACGTTTTCAGTGCTTAGGCACACTTTTGACAGATCCAAGACCCTTTAGGGGTAGGGCTTTTTTTCTATCTTTGGAGCCATAGAACCAAACACCTTGTGACAGCCTGTCCCTGTCTTTTTTTCGAAATTTGATCTCTGGCAAACACAAAAACCTCCCAACAGATTCCAACAGGCTGACCCCCTGCAGATGTCCATGCACTTGTGCTGCAAACAACCCAGATACCTGGGGGTTCTGACTTTTTTTTTTTTTTAACTTTTTGTTTTTTTGAGAGCTTTTTGCTATAGGGCGCGTGTGCTCGCCAGACAGGCAGAGAGAGACAGAGAGACAGAAAGCAGGAAATCACCCCCCAGGGGGGATGGCCACACCGCAATCCCTTCTCCTCCACTCTCCTCTCGGGATCTTGGGCACGCACGCACACGCGCCCGGCATGAGTTTAAGCCACCGGGTCCGGGACTTGAACCACGGTCGACTACGTGGGAGTCCAGCGACATAGCCATTACGCTAACTGCTGGTCCCTATACCTGGGGGTTCTGTAACCACTGCTTCTGCAGAACGCCTTGGTGAGTTTGTAGAAACCACCTCCTTAAACTCCTAGAATTTTCATATCTGCAATAAGCTTGAAGTTACTGTAATTAACTCCCTCTCCACCCTTCCTCCCCTTAACACAGGGACTCACCTCATAGTGGTCTTCCTCTTCAGCTTCTCAGAGTCCCTGGAATTACAGGTGCACACAACCCTGCCCAGCCTTTAGGTTGGACTAGAAATCAAAGCTGGGCCTCTCACATGCACCCAGCCTGTGGAGTACAGCTTCTTAGCAGAGAGTGCCACCATGGCTGGGCCTATAATTTTTTAATCTAAAAAGTAACTCCTGGGCTGGCCTGTAGTCTAGTGGTTAAGGGAACCAGACCCCTCATGGCTGACTGCAGTTTGAACACTGGCCTTGGGAACTTGAACAACATGCCAGGTTGTGTGTCTGTGTGTGTGTGTATGCACGCACATGTGTAAGTGAGACAGGAGCGGGGAGAAGTGTTTGGGGCATGACCACACCCTATTTGGGGATGCTCTCTCCCTCTCTTTCTGGCAAGTGCACACATATTCTGGTAATTAAAAAAAAAAAAAGTAACTACTAAATGAGTAGTAGGACTAAAACTAACTATTTATTATAAACATCCTAAGTTAGTTTCTCCTGAGTAAATAACTACAATAAGTTGTATTCTAGATGTTTAATGTTGACTTCCTGTTTCCAACCGCCTACAATGTTGCCACTGAAATTCGGTGACCCCTGTTGTTTATTATGAGAGTCGTCATAAGCTAGAATTTTCACCTAAAAATGTTGTAACTCGTTTGCTGAACTGAGTTAGGGTTTTGCATTAGGATAAACACTGCAGGAGTACTGAGGCATACTGGATTGGTGGTTTCGTGCAAGATGCTTAGAATACCACAGCCCTTACAAATCATTGTGTGCTCCTCTGGCCTGCTTCCCAGATTTTCTTGAAAAGGGTCAGAAGACAGGCTGAAATTAATGACATATGAATGCTGAACTCCAATTAGAGGTGTCTTCAAAGGCATAATGAGGCTAGACTTAATAAGAGGGGATTATGAAAAGAAGCTTCGGGCAAATTATACACTGAAGGAAAAGGAGATATAAAACAAAGGAGCTATGGGAGGTGGCAGCTGATGAATATTTCAGGGAGTGATTTTTGAACTAATCTTGAAAATAATAGAAAAATAAGGAGACCTAGTGAGGACCAGAGAGAGATGGCCATGACCGCACATCAGGAGTAGGGATGCTTGCCGGTGCACACATCCTGCAGCTGTGACTTTCAGACCCCTCATGTCTCTGAAGGAGGATTTTGCTTCTCAAATAACAGTAGCAGCAGCAATAGCAGCAGCAAACGCATGAGTTTTGCTTACCTGGCATGGTATCTGCTGTATGTTTCCTTTTCCTCATGTGTAAAATAGTGATGACATTATTATCGCATGTGGGAAACAAGCCTAGAAGGTGAGTACAAGTGACTTGTTCAAGGCCATTCAGCTAGTCTCAGAGCACTCTGGAAAGCAGCCGCCTGGCTCTGAAATCTGCGCTCTCATTCACTGAACTGCAAATGTCTTTGGTAGGAGAGGGAACACATGCCAAATGCTAGCTCTCTGCGCACACTTCTTTTGGTTGGGAAATATTCGGCTCCTCCCTCCCTATGACCTCCTTAGCCATTTATTTTGTCAACATATCACCATCTAGCACTTACTTTGCTCATGTCAATTTCCTCCCCCTCTTGCCCCAACACTCTAGCGAGTAAAACAGGGGAGTTGCTTCATCACGGAATAGCCCCCCTGGCACAGGCCTCCTGCCTTTATTCTTAGAGAATTTGCTAATGTTCATTGCAAAAGCCATTATTACCTGCGTGGGTTAAGTCATTCTAGAAGCATTTACTAGTTAGAATGGGAACGTTGATCAGGCACACAAATACTAACTTACCTTCTAGGAAACTTTTTCATTTAAAAGCCTAAAATAGTCTCAGATAAGTCAACCTCCTCCACCTGCAGGGCTCTCACCCCGCAGTCTCACTTAGCAGCACCGGCCACGAGAGGGCAGTAGTGGCCGCGAAGCCGCGCTCGGCAGAGGGTGCGGCGGCTCGGCCATCGCTTGCTCCTGCCTGGCACGCGGCTCTCGGCCGTGGATTAGCGCAGCTG